TATCAACCAGAAAGCAGACAGGGAGAGCTGGGGGACCCACTGATGAGCCGGACCTCTCGCAGCTGTGTCAAGCAGCGGTAGAATACGGGCGAAACACGTGTCTGGGCCTTTTAGCTAGTACCTAGGCTGCTAGTATGATAAGTTACAACATCAATTTATACTACTAAAGTCTGTCTGTCGGCAGAAAGTGGATATTTCGCAGTGGTTGACGGATTTTAACCATAAATATACACTTAAAATTTCGGTCTACGCCTATAGACCTTAAATATACTGACATATACCGCGAACAGAAATTAATTTCTCAGGAGATTAAAAAGCTGAAGTAGTGCACTTTCTCAGCACCTACTTCACTCTTTAACTCCAAACGATTACAAGACTGCAACCGAATCGAGATAACCGATATTGGTTTGGGTTGGAGAGGGGTGGAAAGACGAAAGTCAGAAGTTGGTGTCTAATTCCGCACGATGCAGTTCGAAAAGGGAATGTCTACGAGATAAGCTAGCCGCTAGATTGCGGAAAGATCACGTTTGGAAGATACCGAGCGAACAGCGTTGTTAGTGCGCGTGTATTTGCCGTCGGTCCTCGGTCGCCTGCATCCAATCACTGAGCTGATGCAGTTTGGTTGGTTACTTTTTGCAAGACGAACTTGGTGCCGGAACGGATTAAACTCGTTAACGCAGGATCCACTATATACACATAATACATTACTAGAGAGATAATGTAAGTTGGGGCCAAATAGACGCCGTCTCCAGCGGTATAACATAGTTCGACGCCCTAGTAAGCTTTAGTAGAACAGTTTTCGGTGTTAGGGAACAACAATTTGCTCAGATAACGGCACGTACATTGCCCTCAACGAGCGCGTTGATCACGTTTCCGAGAGCAGATAGGGACCTGTTGATGTTTTTGGCCTCGTCCAGGACTGCGCCCTCAGCGCCCGTTTTGGAGACCTTTTCGCTGCCGGCCAAATCCACGAGGTAAAGCTTCCCATGCAGCTTCTTTTGGGTCTCCAAATTCTCCTGCCTCACAGTGATCATGAAGACGGAATGTGAACGCGAACTGTGTTCATTCATGTCTGATTAAGAGAAGAGAGAAAAACGCGTAATGTTAGTGATCAGGTAAACGCACTGACTTTTGCGCTGTTGTAAAAAAAGATGCAAAGGTAAAGCAAATAAAGGCATAAAAAATCTGAACAGACAATTAAAAATATATGATGAGAGGGCATGAAGAAAAACGCAAAGAACATGCTGTGTAGGCGGGTTTGCTTCACACTTATCCTGTTCAGTTGATCAAGCAGCGTTCATGAGGAACCATCGTAGCAGGCGGGGTCAGTGGTCTAGCAAAGTTCCTATCAGCGGTCCCATCGATTCAGAGATGACAGTATAGGGAGCAACGCGTTGAAAACTGTTGGGACGGCCTTACGAACAGCCTTAGCAAGCAGTTAGCCTGCAAGCAATAGCCAAACTCAAAGCAGGCTATCGATCAGCCTACACGGGCGAACGTACACAAGCCGTCAATCAATCGATAATTCAAAATTTAAGTTTAATGTCAGCTTCTGAGTCCCAGCCCATCACACTGGTGACTAATCCGGAAGAGAAGCTGGTTGGTTCGTGGACGTATCTTACAGACGCTCGTTGCCCTAAATATGTTTTACCGCTTGCACTAAAAGACCTCTGCTGTTGCACACTTCTTGTCGTGTTCTTCCCTTGGGGGACTCAAACAAGGCGTTATTGAGTGGTGGTATCTCGGCAAGGGCTTCCGTTACAACAAAAACCTTTTGTTGTTTCCGTAAGGGTTCCTTATAAGCAAAACCGTAGTTCACTACTATGCTTCGTCGTAGTTTATTATTGAGTTTATTTATTTGCCTATTATTTGATTCTATTACTTTTAGTTTAGTTGACTTTTTAGTTTATTATTTTGTTCTATTTGCCCTTGTTTTAGTTGAATTGATTATATTATAGTAGAATATGGTGTTGCAAATAAGAAACCCTTACAATTGTTTCGGCATTAAAGTAGTCGTTAAAGGTGAGATTCTTTCCCACGGCACCACATTAAACCAGCATTACTATACACAAGTTCAGAAGCGAGTGTGTACGTGAAGCAGTGAGAAAAGAAAAATTAACTGAATTATGGCGTTCTGGTAACCGGTTGCTTTAGCAGTACAACGCGTCTGTACAAACAGCAGTAAAAATCACCTGTTTTGGCAAAAAAGCATGACCACAGTTTTTTCTCCTCCTTACTCGCCGACCTCCTCCCGTGTGCTATCTTATTCCCCAAATGGGAAAGCATTCGCGGAAGTTGGAGGTTGAGAAAAGCCATTGCTGCAGTCACTTAACAGCCTTAGTTCAGAATAATTTTTGAAAAATGGTTCAAACAGAAGCAGAAGATGCGATTGCTGGAACAAGAAGTTTACTTGTCCGACGTGTCGGGTCCTGTCGAGGACCCTTCATCAGAGGTAAGCCTAGAATAGGGTGATACATGGACAATGCCTTGCGACCAACGAATTAATCCCAGCCTGCCGAACCCTGCTCAGCGTCCTGTCCAGGTGTTACAATGGTACCAAATACATGGGGAAGATTTTGTTGATAGCCCCCCCCCCCCTTTGGGTCGACAAAATGAACGGCCAAACTATCGGAGTCGCTTGTGTTTAACGGTGGAGCTTACGCGCGCGTGTAGAGGATTCAAAATTGCTCAGCCTTCCTTTTTCTGTGAGCGATGCCGCTGCAGTCGAAACAACATCCGTGCACTTACCTCGAAAAAAAGGTTCACACAAAAGTATTTTAAAAAATCACAGCTTACGTTAGTATTCTACAGTCCAACATTCACAACGGAACATGCCGAAGATATTTCAAGTAAAAACGGATTGTCGTGGCAGTTGACATTTCAAGAAGTGTTTTTTTAGACAGCGTCGAAGGCTACCGAGAACCCTGCGAGCGGCATCGACTTGGGCGACATTGCCGCCTTTATTATATCTGTTTTAGTGCGGCTTGATGCCCATGCTTTTTCTTTGCCTACATTCGAAAGTTCATAGGCATTAGCTTTGAAGGATTCCCTTTCTCGAGTATAAATGACTGTTAAAGCACTTTTGTTTCCAGTACTGAGAAAAGAAGCGACAGGGGGAATTACGTACTGCAAGTCAATAAATATTTACACTTAAAGGATTTTAATACTGCAATCAGACATAAGGATTAACACAAGACGAATCATATTGCGAGGGTCTGTGGTATTTAACTGTACCGTAGTACACAGACCTGTGTGCAAATGTTCGTGGCAGAAGCCCACTAAAAGTTAATTCTATATGCCAGAATGCGTCTCGTTCACTCAAAAACGAAAAAAAAATCAAGAAAACTAAAAGACCAAAAGACAGTGCGTACTTGTCACCGCTACGTGTCGGTTTGCCTTTCCTTCGTCAATTACTTCAAAGACTTCCTCGGGAGTCGATACGAATCTCTCCGTGGCGCCCTAGGCTATAATGAAGGAAGGGTGCACATCACTCTTACCTTCACATATGGGACACGATCCTTGTCTTCGTGCACGGGTAAATTCGTTTTGGAAACTAGAAAAACATCATTATGGAATATAATTTTTACTTACCATCGAGGAGATCGCGAATTTTATCCAGGTAAATTTCGAAATATGAGACCTAGCTATTTTCGAGTCACGAAATAAATGCATACTTTTATATGGAATTCCAGGTTCTCATCCATATTATAAATGTGGTTAAATATGTCATGGATTATCCGGGGAATTATACCCTGCAAAACTGGATCACCCAAAATACCCTAAAGGGGAGTTAACTGATGCCTGATCGCCAACCTCCATGGTGAATGTCTTTCCGCTGGCCGTCTGACCGTAAGCAAAAATCGTTCCGTTGTATCCATTCAAAACGTCGGCTACTATGGGTTTGGCTACGACATCGTACAACTCCGATTGTTGAACTTTTGGTTGGAAAACATGGTCGAACGTGAACGTTTTACCCTAAAAGGCATATACAGTCCGCTAAAGAAAAATAACTTACGAGATTTATGTTATTCTCGCCTGGGAAGGAAACGACGAACTTATCATCCCTGGCTTTCTCGGACTCATTAAGCGGCCGAACCCGGCAAATAACTTTGATGTTTTCTGCCATCAGAAGAGATTCGAGTATCTGAAGGAGCAAAATATGTGCTTGGGAAAACTGTGAAAGGCAGGAAACATGTAGTTTTATTAAAAAAAGTTAACCCTCAGCCAAACGTCGAGGAGTATAACACAGCTATGATTTGAATGATCTACTGTTTGTCATACGTTAGGAAATGAGAACGCCTAAATGTAGTAGAAGGCCGACATATAAAATGAACGCAAGATACATGTTACTGAATACGCTTTCTTTTATTAAACAGACCGACGACAACAGCGGTAGCTAACTGTTCTCTTGCCTTTTAGAAGACCCGAGTTAAAGACACTAGCATCACGCCCGTTAGGAGCTAGAGCCTATGGTAAGCTGTGGATAGATTGTTAGTAGTGTAAACTGCTAACAGTTTCTGTGTGTCGAATCAGTATAACACTAACTTGCATACACTGTACCCAGACATTTAATCAGACCACTAACCGCACGCAAGCCTGCAAACCAGAGTTGATAATGCGATCTTATGAGGCATAGAAAGAGTCAAAAAATTTCTCAGAGTATTCGGTAATAACAATCATCTTTTTCTACGGAACAGATTATGACTTACTATTGAGACTAACAATACCCAAAGACCTAAGTTAACAAAAGTGGGAACCACAAAACACCGACGAGGCCAGGTTTGGAGAGTTAATAGATAAATATACGATCGCACGCACTGTGGACAGAGAAATTAATTTTTAAAACATATAAGAACCCACAGTTAACGGTTTTGAATTTAACAAAAGTGAGAAACTCAACACATGGTTAACGGACCTATCGGAGACCCCGACCTTCCCACTAAATTCACGGGCGAAGCAGCCGCCTTTCCCTACTGGGCAGTCAAACAACAATCAAACACATGTGAATGAGAAATGCTAATACGTTCAAGAACGATCCTGGGAAGCTTTACGAGTTCCGTTTTAAAAGCGCATAGATATGAAGTCCAAGATATACGAAAGCACACAGAGGCCATAAGAGGCGGGAAAACAGACAGGCTAAATGAGCATATATTTGTGCATATGAGCATATATTTCGCCCTTGAGCTCCCTATTCAATTTAAATTTCAATATATTTAAGACAAGAAGCCCAAGGCCCGGAGGAGTCTCTTCAAAGATAGTTTAAGACAGAAAAATACACTCAAACAGGACGGCGATCCTCGAAAGGAAGTGGGAACCGCTGACTGGTTGAGATGTTGTCATCCACGGCCATAAGAAAAAAGGCATCAAGGCGTCTTTGGAAACTGGGAACAGACATTGCTTGGACAATATCCTCACTCAGGGAGTTCCAGT